TTTCCCAAAAAGTCAGTTAAATAAAAGTCGCTATCTCCTTGTTATGGTTGATCATTTTAGTAAGTGGACCGAAATTGTTCCCTTAAAACGAGCCTCCGCGAAATTAGTTACTGATTCTATTTTACATAAATATATTTTAAAATAGCCCCTAAAAGTTATATCGGATAATGGTCCTCAATTTGTAAGTAATATATTTGAAGACATGTGCCAAAAACTGGGCATACGTCATTTAAAAATGGTCCCGTATCGGCCGCAATCAAATATAGCGGAACGGGTCAAAAGAAATATAGTGAAAATTATCCGTAGTTATGTTAAAAATTTTCATAAAAGCTGGGATAACTATGTCAATGAATTTGCTTTCGCCCTTAGGACCGCAAAACATGTTACAACGGGCAAAACTCCTGCTGAGTTATTTTTAGTCAGAAAGATTATAACGCCGTTAGATAAATTATTTTATGTTCAACAAAGAGCCCCAGAATTTAAAATGAGTGATATAGAAAAATTAATTAAAGAAGCAAAAAAGAACACTGAAGTAGCACAGAGAACAAAAACTCTATTACGATTTGAAACGACGGGGAGTAACTTATAAAGTAGGAGATGAAGTATTAAAAATTAAGCATTCACTTTCTTCAGCACCAGAAGATAAAACCGCCAAATTTTTTCAACGATTTGAAGGACCATATGTCATAGAAAAAATAACTCAGGCTGTAGTGGTGTTAAAAGCCAGGAATGGTGAAACATGCTCCGCAAACATTGACCAAATAAAACCATACTATGACCGTAATAAAATACAAATATTCAAAGATCTTTTGCAGGATCCGGCACGGCAGGCACAGCAGGCACAAGCTCCAGAGGTGGAACAACGTCAAGCACAAGGACAAGCCATTAGGAGGCAGGAGCAATTGAAAAGATAGTTTCCCCGTTGGAAAATTGAAGGTAACAAGAAAAAGAAGCCGTTCCACCGACCACAAAAGAGAGCGCACGACCACCCCCAGAATGAAGAAGGGAGGAGTACGACGAATGCAAAGAGAGCCAGGAGAAATAACGGCAACTATAACCCGGCTCCCAAACGGAAGATCTACTCATCGGACAGGACTCTCCGCAGCAAATGTCGCCGAACTGCGGAAGGGCCACCAGCAGCGGAGGAAAAGATACAAGGAAAATTTTAACGGCCAGCAACGAGGTCCAAGCAGGAACGAGAGAGAAGTGTCCCGGTTCCGCCAAGACCAGCTGCCATCAAACGGCCAAGACCACAGGCAGAGGCGAAAAAGAAGGTATTGAAGGATGACCGAACTGGAGGGAAAAGAAAGCTTCTAGAGGAAGGAACTGAAGGGTGAGCCCGCACAAGAAGGAGGATAAATCAAACTACGAATCTTCGCTACCTTCCAGGACTGGGCAGTGAAAAGAATGTCCGAATATCACAAAGATAAGAAAAGTTTTATGTTACTTTGCAAACTTAAGTTAATCTTTCATTCTTACTGCAAGTGGCAGAATTCAAGACGTTTTACCTCAGGTGAGGTCTACCTTTATCGCCAAAAAGGCGAGAAATGAGTTGTTACCTATTTTGGTATTATGTTTTTCAATTACTCGCGAGTAAAACTAAAATTAATGTATAATAGGAATGTGTAAATACTTGAAATATTGTAAAAAAAGTTATTGTATAAATTTTATTTAAAAGATTCTGGCAAGAAAAGAAGTTTTAGTCTGAAAGACTTTTGAAATGTAGTATTTCAATGTAGAAGAATTGGCACTTGCTTGGAAAAGAATAGAAGTTAACAATGTACTACTAATGTATGTTTTAAATTGCGTAAAATTAACGGCATGTTAATATGTTCTTATATACAATGTGAACTCTTATTTTAAACGTTAAAAAATACTGTGATATGTTAAAAGTGAAAGTAATGCCAAAAATTTTAACTTATTCGTGTGACTGTAAAAAGAGCAAATTATTGTGAATATGTGTTAAAGGTTGAATGAATGTAGTTAGGCTCTCTGACGCTACACTTCAGAGTTAGCCACTTTCAGAATAGTACCTCAGGGTTTAGAGATGAAGATAGGGGTGTGTTACGAGGTCTTGTTATGTTGAATTTTAACACGTTAGTGTTTTGATTGTAGGAGGCAGTGTTGAACACGTATACATAAACACATCGTGGTTGGTGTTTTCTTTTACAACACACATGTCAGAGAGCACGGGCAGAGATAATTAAAATAAAGTCATGAATGAAATAAGAAATGTTAGAGAAATATAAATATCATGTTACTTTGCCATTTAATTGTGTAACATTTCATTAAACTAGTTTTCCTTCCAGATCTCTGGAAGGAACCAGATTTCAACTAAAAGCTCCTGTTTAGATGCAGTACAGATGAAAAGTGATTGTCCATGGAGAGCTAATGTAAAAACAATTTTTTTTTTAATTTCTAGTTTCTAGTGAGAAATGTTAATAAAAGATTGGCCTCGCGTTAGGTTCTAGAGCTAAAAGTTTTCAACAAGGTCGTTTTAGACCTCAGTTTCAAACTAATTAACTCTGGCGGGAAGTATGTAAGGATCTTAAGTTTTACTAACGTTTATTTTATTTTAAATCTTTACTATCACTTCTTATTTTCTACTTCCGGCCAGAATTAAAAGCTTTAACTTATTTATGCAAATTTGTCTGGCGAACGCCAAGTACTTAAGTTGTGGCTTTTTGCCAAGCAAGAAGAGGAAGGAGTTAGTAGAAGCAGGCCGCGTGCCTTAGCAGTTTTTACTCGGTTGCTGGTTGCCTTCCAGGCCAGAGGTTTAATCCTCTTAATAATTTTAAACGTATTGTAGTGTTAACAGTTCTCTGTACTACATACGGCTTCCTGTTAATATACGGCCAATCTTCCACGTAGGCCCTTGTTTATTATTCCAAAGTTAAGTTAGAGTTTAGTTAATATTTTTATATTCTTACGTTCAGACCACAAAGTGGTTGGTCTCTGTATTCCGAAGTTCGGAAATTATTGTAAAGAGTGAAAAATAAAGGGTTTCGTATACCCTTCCTGTGTATCTTGTCTACTTCCCACATTTATTGAACATAGCTTTAGTAAGCTCCCTGTTCCGAGTCAGGTCTTTGCATGTTCCCAAAGCAAGAAAGGCGGAACACAGAACCTGATAAGATAACCATTAACTTAATGTTAATAGACTTGCACCTGTGATCTTATTTTTCCGGCAGAGCTTCTTCTGTTTCGAGGATTTCATGTTACATTATACAAAAATTGCTACAGGTTTACATAAATTTTCTCAAAAAACAATTTACATATATACAAAAAATGCTACAGGTTTTCATAAAATTTCTCAAAAAATAATTTACGTATATATAAAAATGCTACAGGATTACATAAAAGTTCTCAAAAAATAATTTACATATATACAAAATTCGTAACAATAGCATGCTTTTTGTGCATCGCATGTTAAGAAAAGCATTTGAAAGAACATTTTCACATTCTGTGCGTGAATGTCAATACTAAAGTTTGTTTAAGATGTCCCAAAATGAAAATTTAATTTTATGATCCCAGAAGCGGACGAACGTGGGAGGTAGAAAATGGTGAGTTGACTACTAAGTCAACGTTATCAGAAGAGAAGCAACTGAGTTGTTTCAGTATGCACTCAACAGCAAAAGATCACTTGAAATGATCAGGAACTCTTTCTGGTATTTGGGTTCAAAGTGAACTAAAAGTTGAAACTTGTCAGCAAGAGTAGTGAAGTGAAGTTTTCATAATGCCTTTTATAAGAAGACAGTGGTTGAGCTTAAAAGAAAAGTTAAATCTCGTAGGAATACCAGGATTGTATGCAAAGATAAGTATTGCAATTAAAGAAATATTTGCTCCACATATATGGAATACGGAAAATATAGTTTAAGTTGTTAGAAAGTAATTAAACCATTTATGTAAACATCTTCTGTCATCAATTAAATGATTTGGAAAAACCAAAAAACCCATATTGATTACTTGGTGGTTAAAAGCATTTCGAAATTATTTGAATATCAAAATTTTTAACCGCTGAGTGATTAAAATCTTTACGTATCTAATGTTATTTTTCAGCCAATAAGCGTCGAATAATTTACTTCAAGAGTGATGCAAGAAAAATAAAATAATGGGATCTTTTCATTTATCCTTCTAAAAGTCCAAGCGCTGCTCCTTCCAGTTATTATTTCTTCAGGTCATTGCAGAATTCCCTTGCCAGGAAAAAAATTTACAATAAACAGAATGTCAAAAATATAATAAATAAATATTTTGCGTAAAGTGAAAAGAATCAACTGAGATGTTGGAATGAACGGCAGAGGTTGTAAAAAATAAATAGATGACATACTATTAACAAGTAAATCTATGCAATAAAATTTTCATTTGAAAATAGCTATCTCAGTCCTGCATTAATTTCTGATGAACTTGTTAATTTAATAGCTAAAGATATTGTTTTAGAATATTGTTGCTTCAGTTTTATGACCCATATCGTCGTAATGTGAAAGTTGACCTATTTAATTTTTAAACTGGATCTGTAATTCTACTATCAATCACTGAAGAGTTATTCATTTGACTCTTTTAGTTCTAGATTGTTTTTCAAATCCTGAATAGAAAAGTTTGCAAAATATTATTTATAGGTGCTAGAATAAATTCCTTGAAACATATTAACAAATTCTTACTAAGTTGTAGAGACTAAGATGTCGCGGAAATTGCCACTTCCAGGTTTCAAGATAAAAAATCGAATGGCAAAGGACGTGTGGACACTATGTCAGATGAAACCTTTGGCGCTGAATAGTAAAACAATCTGTACCACCTATAAAATTAACCTCTGCATATGAAAGTGTAAACGTCACTAATAGGGTTTATCTTGTATATTTATTCATTCAATTAACTTGAGAAACGATCTAACAATTAATGTACATGAGAATAAAGTTCAATGTAATTTGACAAAAAAATGTAACAGTTTTCAACGGGAAGTAAAATGATGCAAACCAAATTGATCAATTGTGGAAAATACCTACTTTCATTTGTTTTGGAACCTTCCTTGCAGACCTCTTTTATGGCTTCAGTGAAGTCGTTCACATTTGAATCTTGCTCCATGTTGCATTTCTCAGCTGCAGCTCCAAGACACTGCACTAATGTGCTTCCCAAACTTCCAATTGAAAAAAAGAAATAAATTTAATGAATATCATGTAGTTATAATTTTAATTGAATTCTAGGAGATTTTTGCATACATTCATAACTAATGATTGTAACTAATGTGTAACTAATGATTTACATATTATGAATATAAATTATTGATATTGTCGTAAAAGAAATGAAATGCACAAACTTTGCGAGTACATTTAACCACGTTACTTTAAGGATACATTATTTTTTATTATTTTTAAGGGCAGTAAAAGAATAAACCAATCCAGTATGTTTTTTGTTTGCAAAAATGTATGACAATCAAATCCCGAAGTTTTATTTTTGTTAGTTTTAAGTACGATAAATAAATAAAATTTGATAGTTATGAAATAAGCAAAAAGAATTAAATATCTAACTTTAATTTAAAGATCTAGATTTTGTGCTATTTAACACAAATCGTCATATACTAAGATCATGAAAAAACATCGAAACTTGGTTCAAGGAATCTAAAGAAAGTTTTTGTAAGGGATTTACAGTGGCTCACAAAATTGTTAGTACATTTGCTAGTTTCAGTGAAATATCGCTTTATGCATTATTAAAACTTAATATTCTAGAATTAAAATTTCTTAATAATATCTATAAATTTCTCTTAGCAAAACTACATTAATTATTTTATGAACATATTAAAACTTTGTTTTTGAAAAATCAGTAATAAAAAAGTAACGGAAAAGGTACCTCACAAAAGTCTTCGTATGCTTTAAAGAAATTTGCACATATTAGTAATACTGTAGTAATAGCCGCTACACGGCCAGCCTTTGTCTGGTTTTTAAATGTACCGTAAAAATGCCTAAATTGAACACCAAACATTAAGTTTAAAACCTGCGCAGAGTTTTACTCTGCAGAACAACTTTATCAAAAAATTTTTTTCAATAAAAATTTAATCACATATAAAAAATTACAATGAAATAAACAATATCCTTTAATACAAATATTAATTATCCTAATAAATAAATTAACCATTTTCCCGTTGCAAAATCTTAAGAATTCAAATAGCATAAAGTAAGTTAAGAACTTTGTTTCCTAAAATAACCATGCAAAACGTTTTATATAATTAAAGTTATATATAATTAAAACATAATATAAAAATTACAATGAAATAAGCAATAAATATCATATTTTCAAGAGAAAAGAGTCAGCAGTCCAATATCCAAAGCAGTGAATGAAAAACTGTTGTCAAAACCACATTTCTAAAAAAATGAAACTATCATCCGAAAGCAATAACCAATCAAATTTAGGCTTTGTGGATGACATAATTCAAAATATACAAATCTCTTTGCCATTAGCTTATAAAGAGAGAGAGGGGGAGGAAATTTTTTCTGTTGTGCCTCGCCAGACACATGCACTTCAGAATAAGAAGATTGCGATGTGCGTGTTGCGTGTCCAAAAATCAAAAGGAAAAAAGCAGCATTTTATCTCATACTTTCAACAGTCAGCAGTATAATATACAAAGCATTGAGCGAAAAACTGTTGCCAAAACCACATTTCTAAAAGAATGGAACTATTCAATATGATACGATTTCATCAAAAGAGATAAAATAAAAAAAAATCTGATCCGAATTTTGAAAAAATCGCTTCGAGGTGCCCTGCCTCTTGTCTAGATGACCTATGTACCAAATTTCTTAGCCCTGGGTCTATTAGCTTACGCGCAGCATGGATGAAAGACATACACACAGACAGACTCTTTCTTTTATTTATATGTAGAGATTTCTGTCAGTTATTATTTTGTAGTACATACTGCAGTATTTATAAAAGCTTTCAAACGTCTGAGCATCGAAGTTCACCAGTTTATTTATTTATTTATTTACTTATTTATTTATTTGTAATATCTGCATTAATGTTCTTCCATTTCTCACACCATTACTGTTTTTAGTTCGGTTTTTGTTTTAATTTTGTGTCTCCGTTATCCCCCAGAACTTCTGATTCTCTCCAGATGTGTTCAACTGGGTTTAAATCTGGTGATTTAGGTGGTGTTTTCAGAACTTGTGGACAATTATAGACAGGTGACAGCAGGGCCGGACACGCAGACGGCTGTCAAAGATTAATCGGGTATAGTCCAGGGCCCGCATGCACCCAAAGCATAGCATAGTGACATAACACGTTTACAACATAAAATACCCAGCATAACATTATCTTCAAGACAGGTAAACATTGCATGGCGACATAACATTGCTCAGCATAGACATGACATGGCATATCATTGCGACATGACATAGCATAGAATATAAAATAACATATTTAGAACATTAAATATAACCTACACGACAGGTGAACATAGCATAGTGATATAACATAGTTAAGCATCCATAAATCATAGCATAGTATTGCAACATAGCATAGCATGGCATATGGACATAGCAGAGCGACATAACTTATTGCTGTTACATATTTATAACATAAAATATACAGTGTGTCATGATCTACAAGACCGGTAGACAGTGCATGGCGACATAACGTAGCGTAACAAAAACTTAACATAACACAGCATTGCGACATGACATGACATAGCATAGCATAGGGACATTGCGTAGAGACATAACATTATGAATAACATATTTGCAGTATTAAATACAAATCGTAATTTAACCTACACGAAAAGTGAACATAGAGTAGCGACATAACATAGCATCTCATAAACATACTGCAACATAACATATTGACGTCACAGATTTACAACATAGAATAAACAGTGTCATATAACCTACAAGGGTTATATGACGGTTCCTACACGGAGGTGGACTTAGTTTATCGACAGAACATATCATTGCATATGAACATAACATGGTGATATACTATATATTAATAAAACACTTTTATAACAAAAAAGTTACCAAAAGGCGAATGTTGTAGGCCGTGTGCTTAAAATTGTTATCCTGATTAAAAAAAAAAAAAAAAAAAAAAAGTTGTTTCCAAAGTCCAAATTTTCGGTGGATAATTTAAAATTTTCTTTTAAAATATTTAAATAAAAAGCATGGTTCATTGTGCCATCAAAAAATACTAAATTATTTAATCCTGATGCTGGCATGCAGCTTCACATAAGATCACCTCCACCGGCATGCTTTACTGTACCAACGAAGGTCTTGGGATTAAGCTCCTCATCTTTGCTCCTCCATACGCCCATCGGAATAAAAAATGTAAATTTGCTTTCATCTGCAAATAAGACACCATTCAAACACGCTTCGGGTTTATTTATCATTGATTTTGAGAAGAAAAGCCTAAGCTTTCTATTTTTTGCGCTTCCAAAAGCCTTTCCTCGAGCAAAGCGCCCATGTAATCCAGTTGATCTGAGTACTCTTCGAACAGTTATAAGTGAAACTGAAGTAGAAACGTTTTCAGTAAATTCTATAGAAATCTTTAAAACATTAAAGGTGGATTTTTCAGAGATTTTTCTCACTATAAATCTCTGATCTCATCGAGTCCTATTTTCCGGACAACCTCTTCTTACTTTATTTTGGATCCGATTTTCTTCTTTAAAGCATTTTATCACATACTGCACCGTAAAATGGGATATTTTTACTAACTGAGAGATATCCCGAATGGAATTTCCATCCTTATCATAAAAAATGATCAATTTTCGAATGTTGTTTTTGTTTCTTTACGACTACGAGCCATCTTTAAACATTAAATAAAACATAACGAAGTAAGCAAATCCTGGGTGTGGAGATTCATCATCTACCACCCTTTTAGTTCGGGCGCGACTATAGAGACATTAGGTATTTTTTGGAAGCAGGAGAAGTGAAAAATAAGCAACGCCTTTGCCGGGAATCGAACCTCGGACCTCTGGAATACGTGCGCAGCGTGCAGACTGTTTTATGTTCTTTTATTTCGTAATTTAAAACGTTTTCCATCCTTATTAATTTCAGAATGAATTTCTTGAAACTCCAAATTTTGCTGCTCTGAGGCTTAAGTATATATAAGGGATTGTGTAGGTTATTTTTTTACATTTAATGGATTGTGTAAATTAACTTTTTTTTACAATTACAACGTGGCGCTATGAAAACGCCTTTCAGAATTCAAAGAAAATTTTATGAGAACCTTCACATCAATTCCCTTTGTTTTTGGCTTAATATTAGAATTCCCGTTGAGATACCATCTAATTCACTGTGACTTTATTAAGCATTTGTTCCCGTTTATTTGTCAAAATCAGCACTCACTGCAGTTCTCTGCAGTTCACTATTAAAACGCTGATTGCACACAGTAGAATATGACTAAGAATTGTGCAGTCCACCATAAGCAATGTTAACACAAGTTAATTTTATTAAGCTATATTTTATTCAATTTTTATGTGATTGCAATTAGGAAAGCTAATTTGATATATATTCTTGGAGATTTGCAAAAATTTATGTCGAATAAAAAAGATAACAAATGGTAACGGTAAGAAAATATCTGCTACATTAACAAAAAGTTTTTTTTTTTTTTTTTCATTTTTTTTCAGTTTAGGTACTTACTCGCAAAACTCCAGAAATTCTTCACTGTTTGAAATTTCAATGTAGCATAACTGAAGCTCTGAATGAATACAGACTTCATCACAAGATACTAGTCCTAAAAGAACTAAAAAAATGTAATATAAATATATTTACTATATATGTAAGCTTTAATCAATGCAATTATCACTGAGTTGAATTAATTCATAAAATAAATACTATTGCAGATGAATTTGTAGAGTCATTAGGGTTTTTTGTCGTCGGAGAAGTGAAAAATGTGCAATGCCCTCGCTAGACTCGAACCTGGAACTCTCGAATACGCGCCGAGTGTGCTAACCATTACACCAAGAAGATGTGCTGGAAAAAGGGGGAAAATAACCTTATAAATTTTTAAATTTTAATTTCTATCTAAGGATATGTAGTCTAGGGAAAATTCTCTGTTCATGAAATTTTCATTTTTTCAAAATTATTTTTAAATTAAAATCTTATGTTAATAAACTTTCCTATCAGATTCTATCTAGATATATCAAAGTATCATGGTTTGAATTGTATACGATCCATTTTACCTTAGAAGAATCCTCCTCGAACGCATCCCTCCCCTTAGGAAAAGAGCCCTCGAGTGCTTTGCCATAATCACATACACCAAAGCAAACCAAACCATGGTCTGAATTATAATTTTTAATTGAGATGTTACATTGCACGGAAAGTGATGTACTTGAAAAGCCATTCGAAAGAGAATTGTTAAACTTATTTCTGGCTTCTTTAGAGGAGAAGGAAGAAAACGTCTGTTATTCATTAAGTCGTGTGCATATCGGATAAAATTTGTGAAATTCTGCAAAACTGAACACAGTTTGTGTTAGCAGTTAATTGTGACATTAAGACAATGATGCTTATGGTTATTATCCAAATTGCATATTTTTCACTCTTTTTACGCAAACAGTGAGTATATATACTGCACTACTAGTATTTTCATGATAGACCTTTCGTAAAATTTTAGCTTTTACATTATCTAATCTATTACACCTTTCTTTCCGAATAATCACAACTAGAGATATGGACAGATGAATTAAATGCTCATCTTGGTTCCAGTAATAGATGTCGGCCATTTATATTTTAAGTTTTACTAACGGAATGTTCTTTTACTTTGCTTCTTGCCCACCAGCGGCCGAGCGTTAAAGTCGCTGAACACTGGTAGTTCGGTCCAAGGTTCGAATCTAGCGAACGGTGCGGTGGTGCATTTAATTTGGCAAAGCATACAAAGGCTATCTGCCTAAAGGAAGGGATGCCTTCGTGGAGGACTTTCTAAGAGAAATTGACTCGTATACACGTTACACATGGGTGAAACCACGAAAACGCCCATGCAGCCAGCCTGTTAGCGGGATTCGAACCTCGGACCGAACTACCAGTGTTCAGCGACTTTATCGCTCGGCCGCTGGAATCTAGCGAACGATCTGGCTGCATGGGCGTTTCTGTGGTTTTGCCCATGTGTAACGTGTATACGAGCCTATTTTCCTTAAAAAACCTTCCACGAACGCATCCTTCCCCTTAGGTAGATAACAAGTCGAGGCTTTGAGGTAATCACATAAACCATTCTTCATCAAGTGTTTTTCGAATGGTATTCTGATTGAGCTTTTATCATAAATTATTATTTGTAAGTGAAAATTATTTTCAAATTCCAGCTTTAATTAATGTCAGAAAATGTTAATATGAAATAGTGTATTTTTAAATAAAAGTTATTTAAAAGTTTTTCACAAACGAATTTCCGCAACGAATTTCATCTAATTAATATGATAAAATAATTAATAAACGGTTTGCTAACAGAGGGTTCACTGTATGTAACCAGTGATGGTGAACTCTAGCACGCGTAACCAAAAACGTTCTTGCCGTTTTGGACAGTCAGAAAGAAAAAGTCACAAAACAAATAATAATCACAGCTAATCTTCAAAAGTAATCACCATCGGCATCCAGTGCCTTTTGCCAACGAGTGGCTAGCTGTGCGATGCCGTCGCGGTAAAACTCAGGAGTCGTGGACGCAAAGAAGTCCGTGAGGGCCTTTTCGAAGTCTGGCCGGTTGTTGAAGAATTTCCCACGAAGATGGCTGTCCAGGGAATGGAAAAGGTGGCAGTCTATTAGCGCGAGGTCTGGAGAGTATGGTGGATGGGGTAGTGTCTCCCAGCCCAGTCGATGGATGGTGTTCCTGCCCTCCCGAACCATATGCGGCTTCGCATTGTCATGGAGGAGGAGTACACATTTACGATTGACCAATACTGGCTCTTTATGCATCAGTGCCTGACATACACACTCCAATTGCTTCGAATACAGGCCTCCCGTGATGGTTTGACCCACTGGCAGAAGCTCATAGCTAAGATGGCTCATAGCTCTTCTTAGCTTCTTTGAAGTAGCGATGCAACGCGTTTTTATACTCTTGGTCAATGTCCCACTTCATTGCCACGTTTGGCGACTATTTTAATGTTGGGGTTTACTCTTCCAATGTCATATCAGAAACGGCAAGAACTTTTTTGGTTACCTTGAAATTTAGAAGTCAAATAGCAAAATCAGCGTAATATTTGCAAATTTTCCCAGGACTCGTTTCGATGGCTTTACCGAACCATCATCCTCAGCTGCCAAAGCGCAAATGAATGAGATAACATATAGCGATTAGATAAGATAAAAATGTGCAGCCATTGTTGATTTTGTGTTCAAAATAAAATAGGTCATATATACCCTTCTTCTGACTTTGTTTTGTATCACAAGGCTAGAAGATAATTCTTCAATGGTTTTTTTAAAGTCTATACTGTATGCTCCCTAAGATAATTAGACTTTATAAAATAAAAAATAATTAAATAATTCAAAAGTAAATTAAAAATAGCTGCTGTGAAGTGAATTTTGATTTTATTTTTTCCATATTTTTCAGACATATATTAATCTAACAGTTTTTCATTGAGTGATAGTAAAATATTAATAATGGAAAATGCCCTAAAATGTGAAACGAATCCAAACGTAAGTTTAGAGCTCTTTGCAGATTTAGTCCTTTTTTTCTTAATTCGATAAATACGAAATAGTTTTCCCTAAATGGTCACCATAATATAGAGGTTTACCCAAACATATTCGAACCCTCTTCACAAAAAGAATTTAACCCTCTATGAAAGAATTTTCAGAATGTAAGAAAACTTAAATTGTGGTACGCTTCACTATTCGAGAAATGTTTCATCCTAAACATTACAAGATTTTTGAGAAATCCAATGGTTACTAATTTTGCTTTGCATGTTGTTTTCTTACCAGTTTCATAATATTTGGTTTAAAACGCCCATTTGCTTTCTACTACAAGTTTTACTGGAAGAAAATCTGTAATTTAATAAGCTTCGTTTTCTTTTAGAGAGTTTGTTTCTTCAAACCTTTCTCGACCTCTGTTTCCAGATAATGTAGTGCTTTGTAAGAAAATGTACCTCGTGGAACATTTTTGGTCCAGTCTACTAAAACCTTTTCTTTCTAAATTTTTTTCTTTATATTTAATCTTTTCTTCAGTTGCTTTTGAATATGCTGTTACATCAGCAACATGAATTTTTCCCGTTTTATAAATGAAAATTTGCCTTTTTTATAGGACTGGAAGATTTGACGAAATTAGAAGACATTTTGATAGCAAAGGTCTATGAAGTCCACTGACAGTTGACTTAATCTTTAAGGCAGTGCATGTTCAGGATATTAGCCTGAAGAATAACAGCGCATTATAAGGTACGTTCTCTCTCCTTCCAGA